TCAGTTTTATTCTTCTTTTACTTTTTTCCTTTAGATCACATTATATATACATACATATATATATATATTTTTTTTATTTATTTTTTTTTTTTTTTTGCAGTGTTTCTAAGATAAAACAATATCAACAATATCAAAAAGCAATGTAATGTACATTTTAATGTCTTTGCCGCTGTAATCTCAGTATCTCTGTAGATGCATAAGCGACTGCTGTACCTGTTCCCCTGAGGCAAAATGAAGCAGAACAAATTTGTGATTTAACAAAAGGCTCATAAATGATGGATGGAACCAGTGGTCATGTCAGAGGTACAGCTCTGGGAACAGAATTAACCCTCTTAAATGACCTGTGTCTTAATGTGGTCAAAGTATGTGGAGCATGCATGACTTTGCCGCTGTAATCTCAGTATCTCTGTAGATGCATAAGCGACTGCTGTACCTGTTCCCCTGAGGCAAAATGAAGCAGAACAAATTTGTGATTTAACAAAAGGCTCATAAATGATGGATGGAACCAGTGGTCATGTCAGAGGTACAGCTCTGGGAACAGAATTAACCCTCTTAAATGACCTGTGTCTTGATGTGGTCAAGGTATGTGGAGCATGCATGCTTGCAAGGCTCACCAGACTAACGCTAACACACTAGCCTGTAAAGAACATGTGTTTGAGAATTCAGGGTGTGTCCCCTACAGCACAGGCATATCAAAACAAAACAAAGAGCTGAGACAAAACCAAAGGCGACAAAGAATATGGCACAGGCGCTAACAGCTAGTCTAAAGTGCCGGTAATTAAGAAAACAGTGTGAGAGAGCTAAAACGTGTAAAATGGTGAATAAAACAATCAGCTTAGATCGCATTAATGTAATTTTTATAGTTACACGATGCTGTTGGTCGTGTCGTTTTATGTGTCATGCCAGCAGGTTTGATATGAATTACTGAAATAAATGAACTTTTCCACGACATTCTAATTTTTTGAGATGCACCTGTACAGTATATATATATATATACACACATATCAATTTTGATAATAAGAAATGTTTCTTGAGCACCAAATCAACATATTAGAATGATTTCTGAAGGATCATGTGACACTGAAGACTGGAGTAATGGCTGGTGAAAACTCAGCTTTGCCATCACAGGAATACATTACAATTTAAAATATATTAAATTAGAAAAGCGTTATTTTAAATTATAATAATATTACCCAATGTTACTGTTTTACTGTGTTTTCAATCAAATAAATGCAGCCTTGGTGAGCATAAGAGAAAATTTATAAATCTCACAGACTTTTGAACAGTAGTGTACGTCTCTGGCTTAAGGTAAATCTACTGCAAAATGTAATCTATTTATTTATTTATAATTTTTTTAACACCATGTATGTGGCAAAACTATCTTCATGTCGAGAATAAAGTGAATAACAAAAATCAAACAATTAACAAAACCTATTTAAAACATTTGAGACTAATACAATACATTCAGGTGATCCTTTTTTAGATACATCAGTTAAACATATCTCTGTGTAAAAACACTGTCTATTTATGTTAAAAACTGTGCAGATTGTAAAATATCTTTAAGCAAAACTAAATCTATGCAAGGACCACAAGAATGTTAAATGACATAGGCTAAACTATAAAAGCTGAAGCCTATGGGGAATGAGCAGTATCTCTAAGAGAGTTGTAAAGGAAATGCACAGGAGTTTCTGGAAGGATGTACTAAATAAGAACTGTGTGTGGTGGGACTGAGTGCCTGAGTGGCTCTTTAATCAGCTGCGGCGTTAATTACCTCACGGATGCCATGGGGATAAGACATTGGGCCCAGCAGTAATGAACAAGGGATCGATATCCACAGAGGAGTGATGCTTTACTCCACCCTGGAGGTGTCTAGCCAGCAGTTCTCTCCTGAAGCAGTTACCCCTCTGTGACCACTTAGACGGCAACAACGCTCTGCGTGTCTGACTATGAAAGAGTTTTGGATTGCTTTATGGAGTGAGTGAGTGAGTGTGTGTGTGTGTGTGTGAACCGCCTTCTTTTTCACATTACCTGCATCTTTCTTAAAACTTGTGTCTTTTAACTATTCCTCAAACTTAAATGGGTGATCAAAATTATGGATCTTGCTACATTAGAGTTCCAACTTTTTCTTTAGGAGAGCTTTTATTTGACTCAATCAATTTAACTTTTCTATATGTCTTTTTTATTTGATTGTATTTTGTGCTTTAAAGCTACCTTTAAAGGTGTGATATAAAAATAAAGTTTATCATTAATGTGTCCCAGTTGAAAAAGCAATGAACAAGATGAATATGTGCATGCGTGTGTGTACGTGTGTGTATGCAAAAGCAGGTACTTTATTCTTGCTTTGGGGTTATTATCTGCCCTGAGCGAGTTTGTGGTTCTATGAATCACCAAAGTTCATGGGCCAATGAGCAGCCTGTTCTTGTTGTCGACACTGCTTGGATGACTTCCTCTTCTCGAGCCAAAATATGACTAAAAGGGGGTGGGGTGACAATGCAATGCTTCATCATGGGGTTTGTAGTGGTATTATCACCTGTGGCAGGGCTTGAACTACCGTATCCAGCAGCGCTCTCATTCCCGTGGCCATCTTTAACAGCTTTAGCACTGTCAGAGTGAGCGAGAAAGAGAGAGAGAGTTACAGAGAGTTCAACAAGACAGCTCAGTATATGCATGTCTACGAGGCGTTGATCATTTCAGAAGAAGAATAACAAAGAGGCCAATAACAGACAAGCCCCCCCACCTTGGTTTAATTCCAGCCTAAACGGCTAATGAGGAGAGAAGGAAAAGGTCAGGGCTAAAATTAAACCCTCACACTTCCGCCCTCTCCCCGTACAGATGTAGAATGATGGCACACTGATTCAGTGATGGCTGTGGACAACAGCATGATTAAATAACAGATTAAACTCTAGACAAACAGATCAATCCTCAATAATACAGCATCACTGAACTGTGCAAAATACCATTTTGGTATGATGGAGTCAATATCTCTAAGGCTCGTACTGGGTAATGAGGCGAACGTAAGACTCATTGGCTATTAGGCGCTTATCAACACATGAGCCACTGATCAGGTGTTAGAGGCAAATGGGGAGGAGAAAATGAGAGATTTGCAGAGACAAATAGAATTTGGTGCTGGAGATGAGTATTAAAACAACTTTTCGTAACAATATTCCGTACATGAAGCGTGCTCATTTGTATTTCAGGCTGTCTGGTTGATTAAAAGATTAAAAAGCACACTGAGAAATGCAGGAAAAAATAGGTTTGATCTGATCTGGAGTACACTGCAGACAAAATAAATAGACTTTTGTCATTTATTAAGATAAAAGATAAAAAAAGGATTGGCAGACATGCTAAAACACATCTGGCTGTGGGTCTCATGTGGGGGATAAAGTTCAAATTTGGTTCGCAACATTTCCCATGCTCATTCCTTTTCTCACTCTCCATCATTTCCTGTTCCCTTGCTACTTGCCACTCAATAAAAGTAATAAAGGACTAAAAATAAATAAAAGAAAGATAAAAGTCAGGAAAGTAATGGTTGTGGTGTGTGACAATAAGCACATGCGGAGATTATGCCAGAATGGATGTGTGGCAGGGGCAATTCTAGGATTCATCTGAACATGAGCTGATGTGGGTTAGAAAAATATTTCTTGCTTCAAGAGCAAGAAGTTCTGAGTTTAAACTTGCTCCAGTAATATTTGAATAAACCAATCATATTGCAAGTATTATATACTGTATATTGCTAAAAGTATGTCAGTTTATAGTAAAGGACTACATTCTTGCATAATATATATATATATATATATATATATATATATATTTATATATAAATATAGAAAGATACTTTATTTTTATTTCTTTTTTTTTATCCATGGGCGTTAATT